ACATTGTTAAAAAACAAAAGTAACAGAGGTTTCACGAAACAGTTTTCTTTCGTGCTTTCTACTGGAAATAAATAGCTGTTGCCCAGCTGTAATGAATACTGTGTACAGTGCGAGAGTGGAATCATAAATCACAAATCACAGCAGCTCAACCAGAAGGAAGCACGAATTTTCGTGTTTAAAACTTTGAAAAAGAAAAAAAAATGTGAATGAAGCATAAATTATTGGGCTAAAAGTAAATGTGAATAATAACGAATCTCGATGGTCAAATGATTCCATTTGCACCCCTGAAAAAGGATGGAGAACTTACAACATAGTTGAAAAACAAAAGTAACAGAGGTTTCACAAAACAGTTTTCTTTGGTGCTTTCTACAGGAAATAAATAACAATCGTACGGAATAAGTATTATCCTAGCATCGTCACTGATATTGTTATTTTTGTGACTTAAGTTTAGGGGAAGGGGGAAAACGGAGGCACATAAGTGGGGGACTGATCACCGAGGGGGGCCCTGTAAGAATATTTCGTCAAGTTTGTTATCAAATACCAATAGAGGTAAGACAGAGTCTCAGAGAGTGAAATAAAGTTATTTATTCCTTTTCCTATTCCTAGGGGCGTTCTGATATCGAAGCGGTGAACTTAAATAATTACATGAGGAAATTACCTCAGTAATGAGCGATCACAGCTTTGGGAATAATCTCAATTTGGAACATGATGCATGTGGCAATTAACCCTTTAACTCTCAAGATCTGATAGTCAATTCTCCCCTCCAGTTACTACATACTTCCTTTTAAATTAGTTACGAGAATTTGGTGTTAGATCAAGACAACAATTTCTACTTGATATGTTTGAATATTCTCATTACCTGTTCCCTGGATAATGTATGGATATTGTAGGGAGAAGTCGGATGTTAATCACTTCTGGGTGTTAAAGGGTTAAATGAACCAAAAAGAGGGGTAAAAACCAGCGATAAGTTTCGCTTTAAATCAAAACTACAATAACACAATCACAAAATACGTTGTAGCTTATCAACGTACGCGGGTCTTGATTACTTTATCGAGGATTTCGGTCTAAACTTGTCTTCTACTCCAAAAACAATCATGATTACCCGAGGTCTTGTCCTGAACTGAAACGCGAACTATAATTTTGTGTCTACTCACTACACGCACTACTCACGGTGGCGTCAATATTACCAGAAGAAAAAGTGCAGGTTCTTTCGGAAGCGGAAACATTAAGCTTTAATTGAAGCAGTAATAATCATTATTATCATCATTTTCACTCAGAAATTACAACCCAGGGCCATAATCAGAAATTATTTTTTTTGATCAGGTTTCGTTTCAGTAGTATGCTGAAAGCTCGCTCGTAGATGCCGTGAATACGAGAGTGCTGTTGGCATAGACAATCTGGAAACGGGGGAAAAACCATTCATAGACCTTCCATGGCTGGATGGATTTGTGATAAAACGATTCCTTTTCACCCTTTCTTTCTCAGGTTGTACTCTGTCGTCTGCCGAACTCTGAGTCCTGTTCGACCGTGAACCCTGGAAACCGGGCGGCGGGATTTCTCTGCTTTCGAAGGCTGAATTACGCGATAGAGAGCTCTCTGCCCTTGGGGAATTTTGGCCCATAAAGAAAGGTGTCACTTTGTTCGCGTTACTGTTCTTTAATCTGCGCCTGGATAACAAACAATCTTGTGGAAAGATGGGACTGTTTTCAGCCTTTTGTAGTTTGCTTAACCCCTTGTGTCTCTGGTGTAAGACAGATGGCTTTTTCTCTTTAGGAGTTGCACGTTGCAAGGGTGGGTGGGGGAGGTGCATATTACTCTCGGTACCATTTGTGGCCTTTGACTCTTCCTTGGAGTTTGGTTCCTCCTGGACTGAAGGCCATTGGAAAACGAAGGGAAAATGTTGCACGGGAGCGGAACGAGGTCCTCTGTCGGGAGAAACAGTCCATGGGGATATCCTGGCTGATGATCGTGCTGGAAGAGGAGCAGAGATCGTATGACCGTATGGTAGTTTCTTTCCTTGCCTTGAAGTTACCAGAGACACATTGTCAATTGAAATTAATTCTCTCGGACGCCTTGAGGTAGTTTGCACTCTGTACTCGTTGACATGCTCGTTTGAGGAAGGTGCCATCATTATCTGTCGTGTTTCTTCAAGATGATTTGTTCCACCAGCAAGAGATCGTAAAGGATTTTTTGTCTTCTCTTTTGAAATGGCCCCTTGGGAGGACTGTAAAGGAAAGATCTTTTCCTCAACTAAAAACCATTCGTCCTTTTTTGGCGGCATTTCTCGTTTGCTTTCGTTTTCCATCGCAGAAACTATGGTTAAACTCCATAAACGGCAGTTTACCATGACCTGTCAAGCCCAGAGAGGGCTGTTATATAACTGACAGAGAAGACCAACAAGGAAAGTTTTCCTTTAGATTTTACCGCTAGCCAACCGCAGTTCAGATTGCAACTCGCCAGTATTTCATAATCGTTGGGTAATCAATGGAGAACTTAAAATAGCTGATTTAACTGACACTTTCGTTGGAAAATTCATTAAACCAAACATCGATTGAAGAAAACTCTGAATTTCGCAAGTTGAGTCCAGCAAAACCTCGTGTACGCCAGCTATTACGAAATACGATCCCTAATTTAACGTAATCAGCGGCAATTTCAAATTCAAAACGCCTTTTCACGGAAAAGCGGCGTTCTTTTGATCTCTCGAGGCAGGAACTTTGAGGAAAGGAGTGTCTGTTAATTTAAATAATCTAACAGCAGTCGGCACGTTTCAGAGACACGCCCTTCTAAACCTACTTCCGTGCCATCTTCAAATTAAGGAAAATTAATTAGTTGGGAAACTTTGAACACACCCATTGTTTTTTTTTTCTTTAATTATTGCTTCGTAATCAACCATTTGTTAAATGAATTATCGTTTCTTGAATTTTCGAAATTAAAAACCATGCAAACGGTATTTGGTGCCTTCCTTAATGTTCCTTGAATTAAAAAATAATTTCCTTGAACGACAACCGATTCCAGCTTGAAATATCTGAGTCGTTGTCCCATCAATTTTCTTTTTCATCAAATATTCAGAATGAATCAAATTAAGATCTCGATTCAAATCACTCAAACTTACCACCGCTACAATTCAAGACAAGAACGAAGCGCTTACAATTGTTTCTAAAAAAAAGTTTTCGATGAAACAGCAGCTAAAGGATCAAGATGATATCTGTAATAGGAAAGTAGGAAATAGACCTTGTGAGTATTACTAGCCAGTGTTAGACTGCTAACAATCCCTCCTCTACGGCGAAATCCGTCGTACGAGTCAAAAAAATCAACGAAGAAAAAAAATTGTTCTTGCGCCACGCGGAACTCTGGGAGTGAGGCTCTTGGAAAGTGTGCCTCACTCCAAGAGCTCCGTGCGGCGCGCCAGAGGCCAGTCATTTTTGTCTAATCAGCATTAAGTTGTAATGATGATTGTTTCTTCTCTTTCTGTCTTAAATGAGTTGGTACCATATTGAGAAACAGTCTCGATCCTAGCCTCGTATCCAGTTTCATTGCAAGACTGTTTCAGTGATAGTAATACGGTAGGATCAAAGTACGAGATTGTCTTCATCCTTTGAACCATACAAAGCACGAATTGCGAAATTTCAAGCAGTTGAGACAGGTGGGCGTGGTTAAAGATACGTCAACTGATTAATTTCCTTAATTTGAGACACAGGTAAAATGTCCGTTAATTAAGGTGCGACTTGGAAAAATGCCGACTGCGCATACTTCAAATAGATAAGTTTCCACACTACTTCCATAATATGATTTTCACCTGCTTCACCTTCACCTTCACCTTCACCTTCATTCAGCAGGTTGCGCAATTCAGATTTCCTCAATCAATCTTTGGTTTAATTGTTACAAGGAACCCATCACATGTCACTTTCACTGATCCTCATTTTCCGATTTTTAATGAAGAAAATGCTCACACGTTACCTACCAAATAAGTATTGGTTGGTGAAAAACTGAAAATGGAATTCTGCGCTCATGGTCATTTTCTTTCATTTACTTGGGATTAAAACCCCGTGTTGCGTCTGAACATGCTTCAGAGACAATGGATAGACACTGCGTGCGCGCTCCGCTATGAAATAAGGACTCATTAGTTCCCTTAAGATAAAACAAACTAGGGGCAGCGTTTGACAGAAGTCTGTTTTGAACTGAGCCGATGGAACCTTCGACCTCATACCTGTTAAAATTAGGGATCCGTGGAGGACTGAACGTCAACCGTATCAAAATACGGTTGGCATTAAGTAACTCAAACACGAAATTCAAACCAACATTTACTAACCCTTAATTTGCTTCATTCATTTTCCGCCACTTCACCCTAAATAACTCAAACTCTCAATACCTCGAAAATGCCGTTAACCAAAGTGATTTTTTCTCCCTTTTTGGGATAATTTTCTTTAAAATCTTAACCGTCATGGCTAGAACACTTTGGTCCCCAAACCCAAATCGAAAACAGCATTCGCAAGGTAATTAAAAATGTTTAGTGATGTCAGTGTCTTCTTCCCATTCTGCGGTTACTCGAACTTCGATCACATTTCTCTAAGCAGTTCGAGCTCAAGGGAGTCAACTGTAGCACGACGCCGTTCATTTGTGATGAGCTGTTCTAAGAACACACACCAGATCATGTAGATGTTCCTTTTTCCGTTTATTAATTTTCTTCCAGTACAGTAACACTATATCAATTTTTGTCTCAATCTGCAAAATACATCTTAAGCTATTTTATGTACGAAGTAAACCTCTTTCCGCCCATAGAGGTACTTGAAACTTTACAAAAGTTACATCTAGAGTACAGCGTCGTAAAACCCATCAGAAAATCAATGCAACAGAAGGCCTCATAAATACTCGTACAATACAAGATTCTTTAAAATGCTTTAGTATACAAAATGTTTGATTATTAGCAAAGCAGAACTCGCAACCTGGATTTCCTCAAAGATACAACTCAGTAACCTCTGGACTCATAAGAAACACAAAAGTCAAAATATACATTTTAATATTAACTTTTCCTGTACAAGCTCACAAAAATATTACATGGTTGTTGGCCCAGGTCAAACAAGACCGTGTGCAAGATGAATGCAACACGTGACGATAACGGCGTATATCAAAGGAAAAACTGCGAATAATTATCACACAAAACACATGTCTAGTGTATCACAACAGGTCACATGACCGGTCATGTGGTGGATAACTTGTTAAAAGTAAGTGTGATTCAGAAACACGTTTTGTACTCTCTACCTGAAGTAGCACGACTTTGAAAATCGTTTCTTCCTTCTTACCGTAAATATGTAGTAAAACCGTTTACTTGAGTTTTATTTTGATGGCATTTTTAACAACTGGTATTTGGCCAGCAGGCGGAGGTCCTTCGTCGGTGAGTTCCTTTTCAAGATCCTACAAAGGTTAAAAAGAGGGTCACAAATTCCTTTGCTAAACTTGCTGTGTTGCACCTTTTTGTGGATTAAATACTTCTCGATCGAGGATCGAGACGCTCGAGAATAGCGATCCCCAGTTTCGAGAAGACATTCTATTCTCGCACGCAAAACAGCTTGACACGCAGCTTCAAGACACTGTCATAAAATTGACTAATGAAAAATAAATTTTAAAGAGGTTAACCTCGTTAGCAGATTTGAGTTTCTTCTCCGAGTGTTTTTCCTCGTTGGTAGGAGATATCGATCGTTTAACCGCCGCCGACACTCCATCCTTCGATTCCACTGGGTTGTTACTCTGAAATAATAAAAGCTTGAAATTTTCAAGGATTCTCTTCAAGAACATGTATATGTCGCTGCTGGTAGGTCTTCCCACAGTCACACGAGAAGTTTCCAAAAATAACTGACCAATCACTAACGAGGACCCAGGCATTTGTAACGAAATTTCACCATTTATTAAATCTAATATGAAAGTGTCCGATATTTCTACCAACTTAAGATGTTCCTTCTCAAAGTGTGCACAGCCACGCCGAACTCAAAGAAATATCAGATCCTTCCTACTTACATCGGTCAGATTTTCAGGTTTGTTGTCTCCTGTTTTAGCACAGTTTTCAGTCTTCGTTGATCCCTTCACGTCACCTTCCCTCATCTGTGTATTCGCATCAACCTGGAGGTGAGGTCAAGAGAAAGTTAACACTTCCATTCCTAAGCAAAAATTATTATCAATTGTTAATATGTTTATCAACGCAGGCAGAAGATATCGTAGAAGTTTGGTAGGAGGCGTATCAGATCAGGGACTAATATCTTGTCTTTTTTCCTGCTTCTTGCTAGAATTGCTCCTTCTAGACGTCCCATAAACTGAATTCAGTGCTGCAGCAGATGTATGATCACAGTTCTTCTACCCTGACGTGCTGTGTTTACCCATCTACTATTTCGTTCAGGTCTAGTCAAACACAGAGAAAGTTTAGATGCTTCTACAAGCCTAAATAGCATATCAGGCTGGAGATTATCCATGTAACATAAAGGGAATTAAGGGTATTACCCACAAATCGGATCGGATGCCTACAGAGTCCTGACACCTCAACGTAATAATATCAATAATAAAATACTCTCCTTTTATTTCATTCAAGCGACAACTTCCCAGTCTCTTAAACATCAAGATGATCATTTGCGGCACTTTTTTCTTATAAAACTAACCCTGATAAATAATGTTTATTGTCTAGCCAACAACATTAACTCACGCTGTCAAGATCCGCACTATCTTTCTTCTTCTCATGTGGACTTTCACCGTCGATAAGGTTAGAATTTGGCCGTTTCCTCCCGTCATTGCCGTTGAGTGAATTCACGGAACTGGTCGTCTTCAGAGAATGAATACAATCTTAAATAAGTAAGGATTGACGACACTGTCTACAAAGCGCAACGCAACAAAAAAAATCATACGACAACTTTAGAGTCATCGAAGAAAGACTTTACAACAAACCGTGATTTCGGCATCATCCACTCGACGTTTCTTGCTGCCCTTTTCGTCTTCTGAAGGAGATCCAGCACGCTTTAACCCAGCAGGCTGAGGAAAATGCACATCAATGTTACGGAAAAGACGTGTTATGTAAGATCAATGACGTTTGACTTTCGAGCTGAAAAATTGGGATCAATGTCAGCATCTGAGCAAATGCGCACTACCCCTCCCCTAACCCAACAGCAGTCAACTGATAACAATTCAGGGTTAAAGCTAGATTAGGGGAGGGGAAGGTGTGTAGTTGATTAGATACTCGCATTAATTCACAAATTTTATTTTAAAGACGTAACTATACAGGGATCCATTTGGTGCTTAAGATCAGTGGTTTCGTAGACTGCTGGATAAAAATCGACAATTGAGCTAATTACAGACACTGAGCGGATATTTGTACAGTTATATGTCATTAAAATTGATACTATGAGTCCAGTCACTGACGAACAGTCATCTTCGAATGTCACAGAATTGCCACGAAAAAACCGGCAAAAGAGAGGTTCTTCGCTGTATTATTGCTAACTACTACTTCGCAGCCAATTTTAACACGTTTTCAAGGATAAAACTGCGGTAATAAAAAATATACATTTTGAACCCTGTTACGAGACGATAGGTAAGGAAAGTTGTAACCTTAAAATTTGTTAATAACGCCATAACTAAAAACGAAAACTACGCCAAAATACTGCCATTTAACTCGAGTGTTGTTTTGATTCGCCAGCTTAAGTTGGCGAATCAAATGTCTCTCGCTTTGGCGAGACACAACTCTGTCTCAAAGATGTCAAAATGCGGCTGCGCATACCTTGTCTGGTGAAGCCGCCGATGGCTGACTAGTGACAGAAGTTGTATCTGATGACGTCACTTCACCAACAGTGGAGACAGAGGAAACCGTGGAGTCTGGGTTCACCTTTTTGTCGTCTGAGCTACTGACCGTGGCTACACCTGCAAATAATAAGAGAAAGAAACAATAATATTTTTAAGATTCCAACAAACTACGAAACAAAAGTGTTTCTCCCTAATTACGGTCACTAAGCCGGTATACTTTTAAGCGAGATACACACATCAGCAGCTTGGCCGCCTATCCTTGATGGATCAAGTGGTAAATTGTTGTTTTCTGGAAAGGAGTATCATGGCCTACTTTTATTTCCTCTTATGTCGAGTGAGTGAAAGCTTTCTTTCAGAGAGCACTCGGCGCTGAATACGAAAACGTTGTTAGAAAAGTGAATTTGATATCAATCTCGGTACACGGATCTTAGGAGGAGGAAAAACCTAACAGGACACGAAAACACATGTCTGATAGCCAGTCAGTGTAATCAGTCTGAAATGTAGTCTAAATATATACAAATCGACTCACTTGCTTCTTCGCTGTTTTCACTGCTTCCCGTCAACTCCACACTATCATTGCTGGGCTCTGAAGTGATCTCCAAACTCGCATCACTGGCATTAAGTGTCGAATCTAGAGACACGTCACCTTTAGCTGACTTCCCCCCAGAAGTCGCTGAACCCTGAAGACAAAACAAGAGTCATTCGTTTCTGTTGTTTCTCGACAATCTGACATAAGATGCAGAGCATTATCGAAAAATTAAGGGGGGCTGCATCTACAGTTCAGTTTTTTTAAACTTGAATATTGATGAGCTGATTACTTTTTAAAAAAAAAAAATAAGCGTCATCGAACTCGTTCCTGAGTTACAAGCGCATGAAACTGCATGAAGCGGTGTTCGTTGCAGGCCTAAGTATTGCTATGTGAACCTTGTCGATGGATGATGGGGCAATTTTTTCTTTTCACTCCACTTTCAAGGGGAAAAATTAAGAAAGTGTGCCAGCAACGAAAAATCGAATTAACATTTAAAAAATAATGAAAATAATACTAAAAAAAAAACAAGATAGGGAACATGCTCTGTCAATAATTGTACACAAATTTCACATCACACTCACTCATCCAATTGATCACAATCTCTGGTCGCAACAGATTAATTAGGAAGAGAACGAGCAATACATACTACCAAAGAAAAACTGGAGTCAAATACAACCAATACTATTGCCTCTCCTAGCGACAAAAACTGGTCAGAGAAGCTGCCCTAACTTGTGGCAAATGGCCTTCGAAATAAATGTCCACATGTGATTTCTAGTAAAATACCAAAATACGAGTCGTTTCATGACTTACTGGTTGTACTATGGAGCTTTTTTTCTTCTGTTTAAGCACACTTGGTGGTAAATATTTACTGAGTTGCTTCCTGCAATCACGAAGAATCTTATAGTCAATCACTGATCCGGCTGATAAATTTCCTTACTACCGGCATTTGTCTCGTTAGGGGTGTGACTACAGTCTTCCATTAGAGGTAGAAACTTATTGATCATTTTTTTTTTCCATTTAGACTTAGTGACATTAAGCCAAAGCCAAAATAATAAAACGACTAATCAGCAAAAAGAGGAATATCTAGAGCCAATGAGAACTCAAAAGTAAAATCATGTAGCCGGCCTCGCGCGGGAAGATACGGCGAGAAAATGATAGTGGTCACAAAGTAGCTGGTTTTGGTTTTGCACTTGACTAGTCAAGGAAGTATTCAATTTGGTTTCGCTTAACTCCGCTCTGTGATTGGTCCAGAAACTCGCGCCACCCTCTCAACCAATCAGATGGAAACTCAAAGCAATCACAACTTGGTCTGTTGCGTCAGTTGCGTCTAACTGTGCTCTGTGATTGGTCTATAAAACTCGCCCCACGCTCTTAGTCAATCAGAAGGAAACTGACACAAATATCACTTGGTCGGTTGCGTCTTTCCGCGCTTCAGTGGGTTTGCTTTTTCTGAGTTCTTACTGGCTCATTTTGCCTTTGCTGTGATTGGAGACGTCACTCAATCAAAAAATCGTGGTGCTTGGTGCTTTTTTCCCCCATCAATTCTCGACTGAAACTACTCTTGGAGGTACATGTAATATAGAAATGGAATCCGACTAAGTTGACTCACTTTTTGACGTGTATAGCCTCTATTCGCATACCCTCTTTGAACATTTTGGCTGTCACTGCCTGGGTGTGGACTGAAGAGGTTAAAAAACGGCTCATTTTATTCAACGATAGCAAGTCAAGAGACAATGTATCAACTCATTTACTTCACCCAAATCTACACGCATTTTTGTTAATTCTCCTTCTCCTTGCTGATAAAAAGACAAAGTCATAGATGAAGTTATCACTGGCAGTTTTTTGTCTATTAAATTAGTAGATTCCATTCTCCTGATGCCTGTTAAGTTTTAAATAAGATATCAAAATTGGTGAGAACATCAGTTTAACGCTTGTCTTACGGTTTTGTGACACTTTTCTGTTAAAAATTTATGTACCAGTAACACCCACAGTAACGTGAAGCCTATGGCTGAATGGATGGACAGTGATGAACTGGCAGACACAGATATTGACATAACATATTCATGAAAACAGGAGTTCAAATAAAGCCATTAAACATCACATTCACTCCTAATAAGACTTAGAGATGTGGTACTAGAAGATTCACTATTGCGTGAAGGCCTATGTTTCAGAAATCTGAAATGGTTAGCTCTTGAACGCTTTCATTCAAGTAACGTTTATCCAGGTCACCTGTGGTAGCAAGCAAGTAACCGTGGCACACGAGCTCTGCTAAAGCACAGCCATGACTTACTGAGCTCAAAAAGCAAAACATATGAATAAATTTAAAAGCATAATCATACGATTTACATACCAGTATTTGTAAACATCTGAATTGCTCCTGTCAAATCTACATTTACATTTTCTGTCAACACAACAAAGTAGCAATGAGGTTAAATTTCCATTTAGTGAAGGACTTTTTGGTGATTTCTTTTCACAGCTCTATTACAAGTGAAAGTAAATAAAAGATAATACACTCTGATGAACAAGTAATGCTTACCCTTTTTTTCAAACTGTAATCCTATAAACCACCTGTTGGTGGGAGACGCTCTGTAATACAAACAACAAAACGGTGTCAAATCTGTAGCGTTCAACAGACAAACTCCATGTAGGTGGAAAGTCATTTCTCCTAAATCCTGCTGCCTAAGAGGTGAATCTTTTATTAAGGCTTTCATAGGCAAACAAGTCACAACTGGGATCTGTGGGCAAATCCTTTTACAGCTGCAACTTATGACTACACCTTTCCTTGTTTGCTGTTTATGAGAATTTGAAGTTATATCATGATAATTAATCATTTTGTTAGTTCTCATAAACTGTAGCCTCCTCCTTTATCTCCCTTTTGGTTAAGGTAGAGTTGCTGAGGTTGAAAAAGCAGTTGCAAGTTACCTTTTACACAAAAACAAAAGAAGCTTACTTGTCTGGTTCCAGTGGGGCAAATGATTTGGGCTTCACATGAGCAAGTGTCACAAACTGGGTATTTTCCAGGTTTGACACAAGTATTCTGACCTTGGACTCTACTAAGCCAATCCTAAAAGAGAGAAAAATAGAAAAGTAAATTACAAATTGAGATAGATCGTGAATTTTGAGCTTGGTCTGAGAAAAAGGAGACAATATTAATCATCTTGTAACCAGCATGGAAAAAGAAAATGGATTTATTGTGACTAAATAATAAAGTTACTGCCAAAAGCTTGGTAGTATCCTTGATCAACAGTCATTATCTTTCGCATGTGGGCAGAAAAATGAATGAAATGAAAAAAACTCACCATTCTAAGTGATCCTCTTCAGAGTTGGATATGGCACTTAACACAATATAATGTCTGAAACGTGGAGAATAGAATTCACCAGCAATAAATTACGCTGGGTGGGACACAGTCTGCTTCTTGTCAATGCAGTCCATAAATCAAATAATATTGCAATTGAAAGATGGCACACCTCACAACAGTTTAAAAACTACTGAATTTCAAATTCAAAAGAGGTAGCAATATATGCAAAAGAAATGGTTGATCATTTAAAATTGTATATTCTGCCATTTATAATCACTGAGAATAGAGCACACTGTGACATGCCTATTGGCATTGACCGTCACTAAATTCTATAGAGAAAACTGAGGGATTGAAGAAAAGAAAATCCATTAAAAAAAAAAAGACTCAAGACTGCCATACTAAGGCCACCTTCTTAAATGTTTTTGAGCAACACTTGAACACTCTAACAAGAAACACTCTTCAGTGGAATATCATCCACAAATTAAATGTTTAATAATTCTGTTCTGTTTTATCCATTTGGAAGTAAATGTTTTTGGTCATCTTGAATGTACATAACAAATAAGTAAAATTTTATTGTCTTGAAACTGAATCACAAGAAAAGTTATTCCTTTTTATATCTGTACTGAAGAATTGCCATAAGGCATTATCGACAAGAACAGGTAAATAATCAAACAGCACACTTGAACACTCCACTTTTATTGCATCAGTTCTAAGATGTACATTAAGATTATACAAACCAGTGTGACAGATGCTTAGCTTTACAAAGAGACACAAGAAACAGCAAGAGATCAAGTACTTGTATTTGCTAAAGAAGTTGGGTGGTTGAAACAATGCATCCCATGTTGACTTGCCAATTAAAACATCACTTGTGATTGTAAGGCCTGGAACCAAAAAAAGGTAAGTTTAAGACTACTGTATTCAATGAGTATGGGACACGCTTGCTTTGAAAGAAGCTATATATACAGGTACTTGTGGGCCAGAATCATAATAATACTCTTTGACTAGTTTCTGTAGCATGAAGCAACTTGGAGTGTTGCCTCAACCTGTGGATGGAATGACAGTCCATCACACAGTCAGAAAACAAGCTAAGCAGTCAAAACCAAGAAAGCTTAATCCATGACTGGGACTATTGCCACTCCGTAAACAGGACACTGCATGACATCAAAGCAGGTAGCCCCAAATATTTCATTAAGGGAGAGGGGGTAAGGGGGGTTGGGAGGTAATGCCCCTTGTATATTCATGCTACAGAGACCAGATAAGATTGGGCGTTATGGGTCACTGAACTGGAAAGAACATAACAGGCAAAAATGCACAGTATCTATTAATATACCATTAGACTTTGCTGGCATACCAGTGAGCAAAGTCTAACTCACCAATTTCAAATTCTTCATTCATGATGGATCGTGTTGACATTGAGACATTAAAAGTGGAATTCTGCTGTGGAAAAGCTGGAGTTATGATAGGCATAAGGTGATATCGATCAGCTGGATTGTACTGTAAACAAAAAAGATTGAGATCCAAGTAAGCTTGGAGATGCAATGGACTGAAGCTACAGTGTGTAAGAGTAAAAGGGTAATTTAGTATTATCAAGTGAGTTGATAATGTAAATTGGTCACTGTAAAGAGTTTAAAAGCTGATGTTTTGAGTGTTAGCCCTTTGTCAGAACAATTGGAGGAACTGTGGGTTGTGTGTGTGTGTCTTTATATACAGAGTAACAGTTCATCAAGTGATCAAGCAGCTGGCAATGAAAACTACTTTTAAAGACAGTGACTGACATTTTGACAGGCTGGTTGGAAGAATTTTTGGTTAGTCAAACCTTGTGAGTCTTAAAGAAAGGAAACTGACAAGCAGTTCCATGATGATATTTGATTGAAGTTTTCCAGCAAGTTTTGATTGAAAAATTAATGTGAGCAATCAGTATCCAAACACAAGACTTACAACATTAATTTTCCAAAGACAGACAACCCTTCATTAGAATCTAACATCACCTTCTGTTTTATGTTGTCACTGTCTCCATTACTGAGCAAGAGCATAGACCAATTCAACAAAAACTTCATTCACTTACCCTTGGATCCCAAACAGGAAAATTTAAGCCTAGTTTTTCAGCAGGCTGAGTGATATTCTTTAACAAAACTGGATTTGGCCAGTCCCTGAAAACAACAAATCCTTTTTAGAGAATTGCATATTGCTGAGTGCAACAAGAAGAAGAAAATCTTCAGTCTAAGTGGGTCAAATATCAAAATGACTTCTACATGTGTGCAGTGTACATGCATTGGTGTAAAATGTTATTAATGTAGTACTTAGTGATGACCTACCATTTTGAAAACACAAGAAAGAATTTTTGAAGAAGTGTTGCTGCCACAGCATTTGGATACAACTGACATGTGCGAGCAACTAACATAGCCCAAGACACACCACCAAGAAAACCTAATACATTGGAGTAAATTCCACGGTCTGAAAGAGCAGAGAAATTCAGAATGTTTTAAAAAGAAATCAGTTTTAAAATTGCCAAAGGCACTTTTGAAGGAAAAAGCCTTTAACACTCACTTTTTGCCCACAGTTTCACTGCTCTTAAAGTAAGCCGAAAGTTTTCTATATTGGGAACTAAGTGTAGGATTTCATCTGTGACACGACAACCTGAAAAAGACCACATCAAAACTATGTTACAATGTGTTCATGTAACAGTAATAATGCTGAAGTATACACACATTCAGAAGATTCACATACTTTTCCATGAAGAGGTTTATACAAATAAATTACACAGACAGTTGAGCTGGTAGTGTCATTCATCTTTCATGAAGATAAAATGCACACGTACTGAATTAAGAGATACACACACTGTGAAAGAAAGACTACCCAAAATAAAATTAACAACATGAACAAGAACTTAACTAGAACCTTACCATTTAAACTTCTGACACACTTGGGATCCAAGTTTTTCAGTAGGCTCTCATCCAGTAGACTTAGATCATCTGGCACCTCAGGCAGTGCTAGTCGGGCAAACAACAGGTCCATCTACAGGTAAAGGTCAAGACCAAATGGGAAGTAAGCTTACATACAAAATTTCACAAAGTTTGACTGAAAAGAAGAAAAAACCACAACATACCCTGAGTAAGACTTACCTCTATGTTACAAAACACCAATTTGATGACTGGAACAAAGGCATTTTCAACAGCCTAGAAAAAAAGATACATACTCCTGAGTTCAGAAAGTTATCATTGAGAGCCTACACCACAAAGAAAATACAGAAAACAAACAGTTTAAAGAGGAATAAACAAAAATTGAAAAAGTTAAATTGGAAACAAAAGGTCATAATTCCAATTCTTGTCAACCTATATGTAAAACCACTTATTTTTTGAAAATAAAATTAATTTGAGATATCTTCATGAGTTGGTTGTTTGATGTCGATAAAATTCCTGTAAGTGTTAACAGAAGTATATAAACCATACTACAGTTGTATGGTTTGAAATGTGCTTGCAAACAGCTCAGTTTTGATAAAATGTCCAAACTAGACAGTTCGAAAATAATTTATCTTGTAGACTTACAATACAGCAACAAAATCTTACCCTTAGTTCTTTCACATCCTCATTATTTTTGAGAATCTCATAAAATGTCCCAAAGAAGTCAGATCGGTCAATATGACGAGGAGCAACAAGGAGGGTGTCAATATCAGCACCTAGATATTTCAATTACAGCATGTTGCCTTATCATAATATTACATGAGGTCAAGTTTCATTGTGGTTGATAATTAAAATGGTCTTGAAGGAGTTAAGTTACAGTTATACAGCTTGGAAACTGTAACCTAAATTCTTTGGTCATCATCTGTATCAATCTTTCCCACCTTTGGTCATTCATATGCACTATAATTTTTGTGGTTTATTCTATATTCCTGTGGTTTGCACTCTCTTATAAAAAAGTGTATTCAAGTTTCGAGCAAAATATGATAAAGAAAGATGAAGCGTGCGAGAAAACAAGATGGCCAATGGCCAACCATGCCACTCCTTCATTCCCACCAAATAACTTATTAAGATAAAATCATTTGGGTTTTTGCCTTCTTGTCAGACAAGGGTTCTATCATAAGAGAGGAGACCTTTCTTTCTCAACTCAAGACTCTTATCTCCCCAGAACATGGTAACCTACTTATGAGCAGTGATTTTTCTCAAGTACATGTAGAGGATGTGTAGCAATAATTACTTACCTTTTGTGTGAACACCAAGTCTGTATGAACCAAAGGTGAAGATCTTTCCTCCAACTGAATTAGCTACAGATTCTGGCATGTTCTGTCAAATAGAACAATTTTGATAAATTTATTTTCCATTTTATTTCTTTTTCCATTACAATTTCCTATTGTTGCCTTTAGATTTACAGGAATTTCAGTCATCACCATCATTTTTGGCCTGTCATTATTTATACCCTGCATATGTATATCAAACAAATAGAAACACATACAATTTATACTTTATCAATTACTCTGCTGTCAAACATGCACCTTGTACAAGGAATAATTCCTACCAACCTTGGCTAGACTAGTATCAATGATCCATTGTTTAACCAAAGTGTTAAGTTTTCCAAGGACAACTATCCTGCACACCACAAAAATAGTTAAAGGAATTTCAGTTAGAATCAGAGAAGGTGACAGAAATTTAAGAGTGAGTGGGGAAAGGAAAAGTTGCGCCAAAGGTGCAACTAACAAATAAAATGCAAGACAATAATTTTCTGTGGCAACTGACACACAAATTAAATGTTCCTCGACAGTTGTTACATTTTAGTTAGGAGAATCTGGATCAGGTTTGAAAAGGACATCTCATTCCTGAAAGCTTTCTCAAAAATTAACGTAACAAATTTCTCTTAAATGCTTACAACCATTTACTATCACAGTGGTAATAAAGAGAAAAAGTTGACTGCTTGCATAGTTATGGCTTTAAACTCAGCTCTTTTGAACATCACCCAAGTGAATAGGGATAGTTAAAAAAACTTATGCCCACATACACTCAGAAACACACAAACCAAAACAGAACAAAAGAAAACAAAAACAAAGATCACATATACTACCTAACCAACGCATACAGTTTGACAAATTGGCTCATTTTTCCTCACATGTGGTTGCTCATATATTTTTTTCTACTTGCCATAGCAACCAAAGCAGTCTAAGTAGAGCGCACTCTTCCTTAGGCTTTAAAATACTATATTCTACTAACCTGTGTTGAAGCTCTTCCTCAGACTCAAAGACTCCATAAGGTTTGAGAGATTCTTCAAGTGCCTTAGTAAGTGTTATGTCCTGAGAAAATAATTTCAAATATTGCAGCATTACTTCACTCCCAATACTATAAAAGAATATGAAACTGCTACAACAAGTACTGGGAAAACTATTGGTTACAGAGAACAAAATAAGTATGCAGTAATTGGTTCAATGACATCTGCACAAATTTTGTACAAATGTCATGCATGTATAAGCCAAAAGACCTATGGGAAATCTTTCATTCATAGTTCAATTATGGACCTAATCAAAACATGAGAGCCAAATACATGTTCAGACGTACATTTAACACTCCAGGTATCTATTGCATCACATAGGATGACACAAGTATTGTATGGTAAAGCAGTAAGATTAGTTTCCTATCTGCAGTGATAAATTTTCCAAACTACTGTACTTTCAAAAATGTTAATCCTGTTTCAGGAACATTATTTCTCTTTTTTTAAAATAACATGGTCAGTTCTTTTGGAGTAAAAACGGTATGGCACACGTACGGACTGCAAATGTGTCGCTACTATACAGGTCAAATAAGGATCTAAAATTACTCCTTGCACACTCAACACGCTAATCTTTTGTAACGAACTTTAATCATAATATAGTTTTAGTCTGGATAGAATTACTCTGAGCAAAAATCATTCATCCTGCCTAATGCAGCTTCATAACTAAACAATTACATATGATGAGAATCTACACGTAATTAACTGGAAGACACGATCGATCATGCTTAAGTGAATTTATGATCAACTGTCCACATGTTCTTGTGGTCTGGATGTTTCACTTACCCCGGGCTTGGGTCCCGCCAAGGATATCGGGGAAGTAATCCCATAGGATTTTTGTGTCTGTCCGGATGCAGAGCTTAAATCAAACGAGAACATCAGTTTACGGCGCGAAATAGGAACAATTACGTTGAGTTGAATGTAACAACAAGAACACATGAAACCGGTTTCTTCTAAAATACAACAGACGACTTACCTGGACATGTTAAGGTTTCATAAAACCATACCATTCATTGGAGTAGCATTCTGTACGAATTCCAACTGTCTCGACTGATTCGCGAACGCGTTTTCGAGCAAAATATGATAAAGAAAGATGAAACGTGCGAGAAAACAAGATGGCCGACGGCCAACCATGCCACGGCGCATGAGCGAGAAAGTTTTTAGATATCAGTCTCCTCGCGGTCAGTTCTAGTGAGGAAAGAATAAAGGGGTAAGTTTCTAAAGAAACTGTGGTGCTGCGTCGGTGGGAGAGTATAGCAGGTAATTTAGTGTTAACAACTGGGTTGAAAACGTAAATCAGCCACCGTAAAGGGTAAAAAAACTGACGTTTCGAGCGTTAGCCCTTCGTCAGAGCGATAGACGAAGGGCTAACGCTCGAAACGTAGGCTTTTTTACCCTTTACGGTGGCTAATTTACGTTTTCAACCCAGTTGTTAACACTAAATTACCTACAGTTCTAGTGAGGACCTACGCTGTCGTTTCGAAGGCCAAATGCAATGGATTTTGTGAACGTTTCTTTCGATGCAGCAATAACAATAACAATAATAATGATAATAATAATGATAATAATAACAATAATAATAATAATAATAATAATAAACAATTGTGGTGTGTTTTTAATCAATCCCTAGTTGGTCATTTTATGCTAAGGGCACTAGGTGTTCATTGCAGAAATTCGAAGGACTGATTATTGCCATTTAACCTTGTCAAGGCAATTGCTTTGTGGGAAAAATAGAAATGTTGGGTGAGCAAGTGCTGATTTTCTCTGGCCAGCTTATTAGTGAGACTTCAGTGATTGAGAGACTGGCACGGCTTATTTAAAATCAGAGACTTGATGTATGGAAATCTGAAGAATGGGATGGAAAACTTATTGGGCTTTGGATAGTATGTGGGTGTATGGAGACAGAGAGTGGAGTGGAATGGGTGGGTTGTTACAGCCTTTTGGTAAAACGATCAAAACATTAAAAATGACAAATGTACTTTAAGAATTTTATAACACAGACCTGAATGTTTAGAGTATCAACTGTCTTTACATTTTTGTCTTATATCTTTTGAACAAAAAAAGATTGAAAAGGTGTAACAATCTGTAAAACATCTCTACAACAGCAATAATCATAATTTTTTTGACAAGGAAATATATGCATTTACTGCCAATTTAGTTTGCAGTGGGAGAATTTAACTCATCCAATATCCTTGGTAAATCAAGAACAGAATCTACAGTAAAATCTGGCCCCGGATCCTCTTCACTTCGGTTACATCCTTTAAGTTTTATCCACACTGAAGCCATTAAACCAGCATTTTTACTCCCTTGTATATCATGAGCAAGACTATCTCCAATCATGACACAGTTCTGTGGATCAACAGATATCAGTGAGCAAGCAGTGTTAAAAATCTCTGGATGTGGTTTTGGATGCGGGTGATCACCACTTATCACGATAGTTTTGAACAATCTGTCAGCCCCAGATGCTTTGATCTTTTCTTGTTGGATAACTGAGTCACTATTGGTGACAATTGCAATTTTGTAGTCTCTTGCCAGTTCTTGGATAAGCGATGAAATTTCATTTTCGATCACCATTTTTTCAAGCCGTGCTGATCTCCACACCTCGTACATTTCAACTGCTGAAGGTTTTTCACTATCGCCAGACTCACTATTTAATACATTTTCCCATAATTTCACTCGCCACGCGTGCTGATCAAATTTGAAAGAGTCCGGTGCCCACGGGTTTGTCTTGGTGACGAGTGTTTGATACTTCAAAGCGATGTTCTCTGCATCTTTAGCGTCGAAAAATTCAAGAAGCTTTTCCTTTGCTTTGTGAAATGCGTACAGGTCGGCCTCCACTGTGGGCACAAGCGTGTTGTCAAAATCGAACAAAATACCTTGCACTCTTTTCGAAGAGTAAGCCGCCATTTTGAGGATCAAAAACGTCAAAATGTGTCAGGCGTTACCGACTAGAGGAGTGGGTAGAGGGTTGAGGATGTGGTGTATCGAGAGCATAACAAAAGCATTTGTGCCAATGATAACAAAATCACTGCGGGATTACTGAATCATGTTAAAGTTGTTTAATCAAGTAACATGCATGATTCTACTAGCTTATTAGATAGGTGATCGATGAATGACGACAGAATAAAGAAAGCGATTTAAGAATGAAAGTTCTCCTCTAAATTAATAGCCAACAGCGGGGTCCTGTCTTTTCCTTTCTTTTCCTAGGGAGTTTTTCTTGACCGAGAAACCTTTGCCACACCGTAAGTTACAATGCAAATGCATGGCTCTAAGTGGAATGCGCTCATAAATGTTCAGTGTTTTCGGTCAGTTAAGCCTAATTAGCTTCTGTTTGATCTCACATCTATTAGATTGTTTTCATTTATTGCTGTTTACCTAGTCATGATCCAATTTTTCGCATTTCAAAAGGATAATCGTTTGATCTGGTTTCATATCTAGTAACTTTAGTACCCTGAAGACCTAAATCAAGGTCATTGATAGTCATAAAACTCTCTAATACAGGGAATTCATGAGATGCCTGAGTAGATAAAATTATTTTGCCTTATGCGCTTTATGTACACAAGTTACCTCGCTCAATTCAACCGTAAATTGCATCTTATTTGCATTTTTGACAAATCAGTGAAGCAGTTTACGATTTAGCCAGAGGAAAACCAGTTGTTCCGCATGATGAGTGAAAATGGAACGAGTTCATATCTATGGTATATCTATGGTAACCTTGCCTTTTGTGTAACAACGCGCATTTAAGCCTCTCGTGGGGTCAGGATTCCAGATCATGGCAGGTATTCATCTGCCCGATATAGGAAAACTGGGAATTCGTATCGCAACAGGAATTCGTGACAAGAAGAAAGTTGCTCCGAGTAACATGGCTGAAAACGCTAGATACCAAGCGCTGTCAACGAGACTTGATTCCGAAAAACACGAGCGAAATAGGGTGTTGAATAAGGAAGAAAGACGGATGAAAAGGAAAAAGCATCGAATTGACAAACGCCGCCAGGATATCGAAAAAAGTAGAAGGCAAGAATTGAACGGCAATGTTGACATTAGTGACGGTAAACTATATCTTCCTTCAATCTCTCTTCCTAAAACGGCGATTTCACATGATTATAGAGACGAGTTGTTCAACGAAGATCAGAAAGACTTCGACCAATATCCCGGTAAATCGTCGTCAGCTATATTCCCAATTCAAGACGAGTTTAGTCGGCTGTTAGAAAGTTCTAGAAGTGATAGAAGATTAAGAGAAAAGAGGAAGATTGTCCAGCTACCTTCAATTGAAACAAGCTCGGGAGACAGTAAAATCAAACACAGAAAAACAGCTACTTTGAGGAAAAACTTGAAAGCGAATAATCTAATGAACAAGGATAAAAACGCGTTAGAAATTAAAGATATGAATTCAGAAATTGAAAAGGAATTAGAAGTTCGACCAAATCCTCAAATAGAAACGTTTAATGTGTCAAATAAACAAGATCAGCGAGGGGACAAGGATATTTTCTCACCGACAGGGAAAGAGGGAGTTGAAGATGAAGATCACAGACACGCTGAAATAACAGTCAGTACAGATTTCATTATTGACGAATCAATCTCCTCCGAAAATCCATTTAACTATTTGTTACTGGAAGAACAGAGGAGGAAGGCGTTCCATCAGAATCTAGAGGACGCATTTAGAGCGATCAAAACTTGTCGCTACATCAGAACTCCAAGTCGTAGAGAAAAAGAAACTGACTTTGATGAAGAAATCTTATGAATAAACCTTTTGAGTTTATATTTTCAGACTTTACCATAAAAATTTACAAGTAAAGATTAATTGCACACGACATAGTGTAACTAGATTTCCAATAAGTTTTAGTTTTTAACCCAAACGTTTTTTACTTCCTCTGTGGCCACAGAATCGCTATTGTTCTTTTAATTAAGTCTGGTCACATTCCTGCGTTTCAGGGTTCATAACTGATTTGGTATTTGTTACAGACTGTTTGTTTGCTATTCAGCGTTGATAAAAGATGAATTTCAATGTTGACATATTTGTCTGGTTTAAAACTCTTCTCATCGCCAAATTATACGCAACTTCTGTTCGATTTCTGAACTATCTGTGGTAAGAGGGCAGGCTTTCCTTTCTTCATTTAAAAAAGAAAAGTAATCTCTTCTGCTATCAGTGTTATTTTTTCTTTTCGCGGCTTAGAGAAGTCAAATATCTTAAGACAAATTGAGTAAGATATCCAAAGAGATTTAAGATTTATGTAACAAAACTGCTGCAGAAATTCTTTAACCCGTTTATGTAGGGTAGTGATCATGGTATTTATTCAAAGGACAGTTAAAGTCGCTGTATGATTGTATTTGTTACTGATCCAAAGCGCGCCGAAAATTCATGGAAAATTTAACAGTTCTTGAGCGACAAAGGTTAGACAATAATGATTGCAAAGATCTGTGGATCTGGGTCCCAATCGATATCAAATGAATCTAGTCACAATTTTATAATAAATTTAAATATTCCATGTTTGATGATCCACTTGTAGCAACACTTGACAAGAGAGTTTCCTTCCCTCCTTCCAAAGAGACTAAGGTTCATTTACAAATGTGAAAGTTAAAATCAAGGTAAATTTGAGCCTCTCAACTGAAGCATGATTGTTTCAGAATTGAGTGGGCCATGAAAGGTTCCCGAAGTCTACTGAGTAGATGGACTTGACAACCTTGGAGTGCTTTTAAATTGAAGAAAAGGGCACATAATTTTTTTGCGTCCAAAATTCTGTAAACTCTCACGGAGTCTTAAAGTAATTCATTAAGAATTACTGCTGCCCCCACCCTACCCCTGCTTGCACTAAATGGTTTACTTTCCGAGAACCTAGACCACAAACGGCCAACATCATTCAAATGAAGCGTTCTTTACTAAAATGTGACACCCAGGCTAAAGCAGAGAAAAATTTTATTTCATATGTAAATGAAGAGGTAGAATTTGAAATAATGAGCGATCATTAGAGAATGCGAATATTTTGCGCCTTTGAATGCAAACTACTTGAATTCCAACAACCTTGTTACTGTCATGCGCAGCTCTGCAGATCTGATCATTTTTGAATTGTCAACGGTGAGTGTTAGCTTTACGACACTAAAAGAGTTCGCATTCACCAGAAATCCTTCATGTTACAATTACATTTGGTGGCTGTATATGTCATTGCTCGTGGGGGAAAGCTAAAAAACATCGTGCAGTTCATAACAGCCAAGATGGGACTTCGACGAGTTTTGTCAAAACGTTTATGATAAAACTCCTGCCAACTGATCACACATCGGATCCGCAGAGAACTTTGGGCTGGTTTGAATCGCTTGTAAGAAAGGGTGACTCGAGAAGAGAAAGGCTCTGGTGTGAAACAGTTCTGCAAAAAGACCTCGGGACCTCCAAGTAACAACACGGTGAGAGAAGCTATTGGTTATTAGAAAGTTGCAGCGTGATAAAATTTCACTCTGAAGGAATAGCTAAGAAACAAATGTAAGACATGGACGGGCAGAAAGTTACTGCACTAACTTTAAACGATTCAATTTTTGTCGTGTAATGCGTATTAATATCATTTCTCAAACAATGTTTCCTAGATTTCGATATCATTAGAAACATTGCGCTAGCTAAATCTAATTTTAAACAAAATCAAATCTGCTTTATCTAAGAAACAGAGCAGATGTATATGGATGACTATACATCATGTATCTTTTCTATCACCAATGTCTTCCACGTTTCATGAAAATCTATAACTACAAGTGTGATGGATAAAAGCGAGAGAAAACAATTTACATTCTCTCGATAAAAATTAACTTAATTTACACAGTAGTTACTTTCTTCCATTTTTTTCAAGATTAATAGAGGTGGATACACTCAATTCTTATTGGAACAGAGCTATTGAACTTGTGCGTGATCACAAAGGCAGCCACTATTCGTAAAAAAAGAGAGCGACCGAGGTTAACGTTTTCCTGATAGTTCGGAAAAATCTTCGAGAAGCGGATCGGTCCCCTCCTTACATTGATGTACTACTTATTTCATCGTGGATTGTTGGGAGACAAGAAAAGCAAGAGAGAGAATGGGACTTAATGTACCTCACATGTGCTCCTGGAGAATGCCGCGGAACAGACTCCAAAGTAAGTTGTTGTTGTTTGAAGCCATACCTTCTGAAACTGTGTAAATTTTATCTCTGCCATTGAAAATCATGTATCACATTTTTTTTTATGATTACGTTTTGACGTTCCAGCGAGTAACCTATTTGTTCTAAATTTGTCTTCAAATTAACTAGATATTCTCCTCCTAAGTTATGAAATATGGATACCTCTGAGTATACAGTGGAGATTTTATTTGAAACTACTTTTTTTTATTAAAACTGATGGAAAACTGTACCTTTATCAGAAGCAATCATGGAATATATAAACAGACAACACATTTCTCGAGAAATCACGAATGAACTGATAAAGCTAAGCGTCCAAACCCTTTCTCAGTTGGCGCTATAATATGAGCAAAGAATAAACAAAATAAAACATTCTGATGCAATTAATCTTAGTTGCACTTTACTGAACAAATAAAGCATCGTTTATGCGTCGATCAATTCTAAGCTTCAACATAACTCAAGGCAACATTCCAGGCATTAGAACTTTTTCAAATTGTTAATCTGTTCAATTCCCGCCCTCTGGAGCAAAATTTGTGTTCAAATGCTCCACCCAAGTTCCGGATTTGATGGTCAATTTTTTTTGTAAAAAGCAAAATCAGCGACCGTGACATTCTACTCATTTACCAAGCTTTAAAACCTAGACCTGTGGTAAACCTTTTTTCTGAGCCATTCGCTCGCTAAAGTGGACTATTTATACTTGAAAAATTTCAGATTTAAAAATGTAACACTTCTTTTCCGCCGAAAGACTGAAAAGTTCAAATTTCCCACACGATCCAGGCGAGGTTCAAATTCCCCACCCCCGGGCACAAACGACAGTCAAATGCCCGTGGGTTGCCCGAGAAAGGATTTCGAAGCTTCGCATTGATCAGCACACTAAACTGACATTAAATTAATGAGCTAAAAACGAGCTATGTAGCTTTCCTTTAAAACTATCTTTTTTCTCTTTTAAATTCTTGGTAAATTTATTCATATGATTTATCTCAAGGAGCTTCGTCGTAATCTTAGGAATGTTTAGTTTATCATTATCATTAATACACACAAAAAAAGAGAGAGAGAAAGACAAGGAGAGGGAGACAGTTAGAGAAGGAGAGTGTTAATGAGATTTCAATTTTATGTGAAAGTCTATCACCACAAGTCATTTACTTCAAGTAATCTTCTTTTTCAGCTAGAGGATCGTGTTTCAAGAAAAAGACACTTCACAGCTGTCATGGGACAAGTTGGATCACAGAAATCAAATGGTACCGTATATAGGATACTGAGAAAACAAATATTACAATCTGAGTCCCTCGTGAGGATTCGAACCTCACACAGTCTGCCCAAAGAAGGCGATCCCAGCTGAGTGGAGGGTTTCGTGCACTCCACTCAGTGCTTGTTTATTTCGCGTCCCGAGGAGAGGTGCAGTGCAGATTGCCCATACTTCGGTCTCGCCCGTCTGGTACCTCGGCGTAAGCTCGTTTCATTTTTTATGTTTTTTTTTGTTTTGTTTTTGTTTTTTGATGAAACGAGAATAGTCGATACATAGGTCTCAAACCCGGAGGTCCAGACCCATTTCAGGTGTCGGCTGTAACCACCAGAGGACAGTGTCTTTATTCAAGCAGGGATTGCAATTTCTTTTTCCTCTGGCATATTTGACATTCAAGGTCAAGGGTATTTAAAAAATCATTGTCGGTCCTTATTAAATAAAGAATGAGACAACTTAGTCTCCCAGAACTCAATAATGGCGACTGAAGCTTGTAGAGCTTAACTTGAGAGGGACCACAATAACTAATTGCCCATGTTACGTGAGTCCAAAAAAAAGACAAAACAGCTGGGTCAACGACCATAAGGATTCAAACCTTAGACCTTAAAGCTTCGCAATCTGCTTTACCAGGGAGGCAGAAGAAGACATTTGGGTAGACGTTTCGTGAGGATTCAAACCTCATTGTATGAAACATCGTCATAAAATGCTCTCACAGCAGAGTAGAGGAAAAAGTGGTGGTAAACTCAAGTGAGGATTCAAACCTCAGACTTTGCAACATCGGTATGAAATGCTCTATTACCGGAGCTGAGAAAAATTGTTGGTCAACTTTTGAAATAACTTACTACGTGTACGGGTCTCATGCATCCCTCTGCTCCTGGGTAACATCTGTGGGCGCATAGCCGTGGGAATGAGCACTCTCGTTCCTCTGTAGATTATTCCATCCTGAACTGCTAGTTCATCTCTTTACGGTCAGTAGTCTCGGACATTGGGCGGTACTTACGTCTTGTCCTCAGGCCATCCATTAGCTATAATTTCAGCTAAGGTCATGACTGAGATTTCCATCTTTTGAGGTTGCTGTTGCTACTTTCTGAGGGGTTGCATCTGTCATATTATGAAAGATATTTGGATCTGTTCCTTCGATCTCTTTCATGAGAAGTTCTTCTGCATGAATTATAAAGACTTCATAATCATCTATTTCCTTCTTTTGCGTTCGGCCGTTGGGGATGGCAGATCTTGACAGATGATCACTTATGTACATCTGAGTTCCCTTTTTGTACACAATATTCAGGCGGTACTTTTGCAGTCGTAGCATCATGTGTTGTAACCTCTTGGGCGCGCTGTTGATACTTTTAGCAAGTATGGTTTCTAGAGGCTTATGATCTGTGACTGCTGTAATCTTTTCTCTTCCATGGAGATAGTGGTCAAATCGTGTACAACCAAACACCAGTGCGAGGCATTCCTTCTCGATCTGAGAGTAACGTCTCTCAGTCTCAGTCATAGTGCGACTAGCAAATGCCACTGGTCTGCCGGCTTGAAGTAGAACAGCTCCTAGTCCATAGTCACTTGCGTCTGACTCAATCGTTACTTCTTCCTCCAAGTCGTAGTAACGGAGAAGTGGCGGTTCTGAAATTAGCTGAGTCAACTTGTTAAAGGCATCTTGGTGAACTTTCGACCAAATGAATTGGTTTTGCTCCTTGGTTAGGTTTCTGAGAGGTTCAGATACGTCAGACAGCTGAGGTAAAAATTTGCCCAGATAATTGATCATTCCAAGTAGTCCTCTCACTTCAGTCTTACTGCGTGGTCTCGGTGTTACATATCAACACTCGACCGCCATGTTGGATTTAAACAACAAACGTGTTTTATTTCATGCTGAGCCTACAAGAGGTCAGTGGTATACATAACATCCCCCTTCCCTCTTTTGATAATATCAACAACAACAACAACAAATATATATATGGTAACTGAACGGAAACAGAAAGTGTTTGCACAATTAACGGTGTCTGTTATTGCTACGTTTTCAACTTAAAATCAAATTAATTATAGGTCTAGTTTCACTGGCTTCTTGACTTGTCTGCCACTTCGAGTTGTGTACAGGGTCGAGCCCCCAGTCGCTGCTACTTCAGGTGAAGGCGGTATCTTTCTTGCTGGGCTTTTCCTTGTGACTGACTGGTCTGACTGATAATCTAATGGTAGCTTCTCCATACGTGTGTCTGGCATGGGTGGTGGCACTGCATGCGGCACTACACGTGGTTTCTCAGGATCTGTCTCTGCCTTCTCGATGTTTGCATGACAGCTCTGATACCTTGCATGTGACTTGGGGGAGTCTGTTCTTAATGCCACTCTATTTCGTCTGATTCTTCGGCCCCCTACATCGACTATATAAGATCTGGGTTATGTATGTTGTTGCACAACCGTCGCTGCTTTCCATTCCTTTGATCCCGTTGCGGGTTTCGCTCTAACAAAATCACCAGGCTTAAGCGGGGGTAACTCTTTAGTACCTCGGCGATCATGGTAGTATTTCTACTTTTCTTTGCCATACTTCATTCTTGCTCTTATCTCTTTGATGTCGTGTGCCTCAGGCTCTAGCAGACCACAAGCTAATGGTAGTGTCGTCCTCAGCCTACGTCCCATGGAGAGTTGAGACGGAGAGAGGTTGATCCCTTGGGGTGGCTCTGTACTCCAGAAGTGCTTTGTTCTTGTCGTTGTTTTTCCTCCAGAGTGATTTTACTGTTTTGACTGCTGCTTCTGCTTCTCTATTTGCACGGGGGTACTTGGGACTCACTAGGACATGTTCAAAGTTGTAGCTTCTGGCAAAAGTCTCAAATTCTTTGCTTGTGTATTGAACACCGCAGTCAGTCACCAGTTTTGCCGGAATACTATGTCTGCTGAAATGTTCCTTCAGTGCTTCGATGGTATCCTGGGAAGTAAGGTCATTGAGTTTAGTTACTTCAATGTACTTGGAGTAATAATCAACCAGTACCAGGTAATGACGACCTTCAAAGGCGAAGATGTCTGAAGCAGCCATCGCCCATGGCAGATTCGATCCAGGACTTGGCATGAGGGGCTGTTTCTGCTGTGCAGGCGCGTAGTTCTGTCACAGAGTACAGTCTTTTACTTTGTCTTCTATTTGAGCGCTCATTCCAGGCCAATAAAGTGCTTCCCTGGCCCTCTGTTTGCACTTCACAATTCCAAGGTGTGTTCCGTGTATTAAGGCGAGCATGGCTGGTCTCATGGACGGGAGTACCACAATCTTCATCCCTCTGTCGATTACACCATCTAAAACTGCAAGTTCATCACGTGTTTCCCAGTATTCTCGTATGCTGTGTGGGACCTGTCGTTTTGTTTCTGGCCACCCTGCTTGAATCATAGCGTACAGCTCATGGAACTCGTTTGCAGTTTTTTGTTGGAGTTCTGTATACTTTGGCTCTGAAATGGATATTCTTTCCAGCACGTTTACTTGTATCTCATCTTCGTCCGCTTGTAGTTCATTCAGACTTGCTCGGCTAATGGTATTAGCGAGAACTTGCTTCTTGCCAGGAAGATACCCCACTTTTAGGTCATAATCGCTTACTTTCAGCATCATTGCCTGTAATCTTAATGGTGCCGTTGTTATTGGTTTGCGAAAAATTGTCTCTAGGGGCTTATGGTCGGTCTGAACCACTGTCGTTTTGCCTAGAATGTACTCTCTAAATTTCTGTGTACTGAACACAATTGCCAGCATTTCTTTCTCAATTGGGGCCCAGTTGATTTCAGATTCTCGAAGTTTGCGAGACGCGTAAGCTACTGGCCTTCCTTCTAGGAGTAGGACCGCACCCACTGCCTCCTTGCTGGCATCGCATTGTATGGTCACTTCCTTGTTGACATCATAGTAGGCTAGCACAGGGGCTTTTACAGCACATATCTTTAAGCTTTTGGAATGCATCTGCCTGTGGCGTATCCCAGTGGAAAAGTACTTCTTTTCTAGTGAGCTCTCGCAACCGGGTTTCAACTTCTGCAAGCATTGGGAGGAACTTGGCCAAATATCGTATGAATCCCAGGAATCGGCGTACATCCTCTTTTGTTTCTGGAGGTGGCATATCCTTCATGGCTTTCACTTTTTCTGGGTCAGGTTTGATTCCTTCTGCTGAGATAATGTGGCCCGCATATTGGACTTCGGGCTTGCGTACTTTAACCTTTTCAAAATTCAATCTGAGGTTGTAGCTTTTGGCTCGCTGGAGTACTGCCTCTAGCACCGAGTCATGATGAGCAACGTTCTACCTGTGATTAATATGTTATCCATAATGGCATATGCATGATCGATACCTTCCAACATTTCATTCATGGTCCTTTGATACATCTCTGGAGCTGATTTGATTCCAAAAGGTACCTTCAACCATCTGTATCGACCTATTGGAGTGTTCATAGTTGTTAGTAGGCTGGACTCGTAGTCAAGTTTCATTTGGAGATACCCACTCTTTGCGTCAAGGACTGTGAACACTTTGGCATCAGGTGTTTTGGCTGAAATTTCTTCAACTGTAGGTATTGGATAATATTCCGCTTAACGGCTTTGTTCAGGTCTCCTGGGTCTAAACAGATTCTGATCTTGTCACCTCGACTTGATACCACCATGGAATTGACCCAATTAGTGGGCTGTGTAACTTTGGCTAGATACCCTTCCTTCTCCATTTCTTTGAGCTTGGAAACGATCTTGGGAAGGAGTGCAGCGGGTTGTCTGCGAGGACCATGTACTACTGATGTTGCTGTGGGGTAAAGTTTGATTGAGTAGGTTCCTGGCATGACTCCAGATGCATTTTGCAGATCATGGTGTTGATTCAACTACTCCTTAAGGTTCACATCTATTTTATGCACTCGCTGGATCAAGTCGAGGGCTTGACAGAATTTGCCTGACAGTATTTGTTTCTGCTTGCTATTTATAACATAGAAGTTTACATTTAACTTCTTGTCTTTAAATCGCACTGGAAGGGTGACGTAACCCTTTGGTTTGACCTGGTGTTGGCTATAGGAAACCAAAGTCTTCTTGGTTTTCTTAATAGGGGAATTTGTTGCTATTTGTCTGAGCTGGGTGGTATTAATCACACTTGCATAGGCACCAGTGTCGAGCTGACAAAACTGGGTGCTATTGCCCACTTCCAGGAATTTACACCATTAGTCCTTTTCACCTGGGTTCTGGTTGTCGTTGATCCTGTTTATTTCTAGACTTGCTACATGTAGTAGTTGTAAGTCCCTTTCAGCACCTTCCTCAACACTGGAATATTCGTCTCCCGAATAGTCTATTTCATTCGACACGTTAACGACTTCTGCACACTTGAGCAAAGTGTCCAATTTTCCTGCTCTTATGACACGATTCATTCTTGGCTGGACACTTTTCTTGTGGCTTGTGTGCATTGTATCCACACCTGTCACATTTCTGAGCCTGCTCATTGTTACCTTTCGGTTTCTTGAAATTTCTCGCCTTTTTATGCTGCCTATACGAGTCCTTCTTCCATGTAACTTTACTAACTTCAATTCTCGGGTTTTCACCTGACATCACCTGCATTCCGTCCCTTGTGGCCTCGAACATTCGACCGATGCTGATGGCTGTTTCGAGTGTAAGGTTTTTGCTTTTTTCCAGGCAACGTTGTCGTACTCGTTCATCCAGTGATTTACACGCGATGGCGTTCCGAATTAACTTATTTGTCTCCGTCATGTCTAGCCCTCGGGCTAGGAGTTTGAGGTCAGTGACGAAGGAATCAAGCGTTTCCCCTTGCAGTTGGCGTCTTCGATCGAATTTGACTGCCGCCATTATTGGGTTCTTTTTAGCTTCGAGGTGTGCTTTGAATTTTTCGGCGACTCGTTCAAGTATGTCCCTTCCACTGATGTCACGTCTGTTTTCCCCCGATCCAACTTGAACAGTGTTCCACTGGAAAGTGTGGTAAATCTCTTGGCCCTTGTCACCAACAAAGCTCATCAGGTTGCATATTTTCTCTTTTTCCGTGCACTTGTTGAGTGGTCCTCCGAGAGCAAACTCGCAGTGTTGATAAAATCTTTCCCACTCTTTACTCAGGTCCGTAGCGGCCCAATTCATCGTTGGCCAGTTGTACGACGCGTTAACGTATCCTTTTGCCATATCTTTGTGCTAGGTTTCGTTTGGCGGCACTCGAAATCCCACTATTTTGACACCATGTTACATACCAACACTCGACCGCCATGTTGGATTTAAACAACACACGTGTTTTATATCTTGCTGAGCCTACAAAAGGTCAGTGGTATACATAACACTCGGCATCTGGGTGATGGCTTCAACTTTGGCTGGGTCTGGAAAAATACCCTCAGAAGTCAAGATATGACCGCAGTACTTCTATTTCTGTTGTTTGAAGACGAACTTGTCCTTGTTCAGTTTGAAGTTTCGCTCCCTGCATCTCTGTAACAACGCAATCAGATTTCTTTCATGGTCTGCCAAGGCTTCTTCATGGGTGTTTCCTGCTCCAGTTACTAACAGGTCATCAGCTATAGCAGTTACTCCTTCCAGGCTCTCAATGATTTCATTTACATGTCTCTGAAATTCTTCTGGTGCACTACATACCGAAGGGCATCCTAAGCCACTTGTATCTACCAAAAGAAGTGTGAAATGTTGTTAATTTGCTAGAGTCCTCATTTAGCTTCACTTGCAGAAATCCATCTTTAGCGTCCAGGACTGTGAACACTTGCGCTTTAACAAGCCTGGAGGTCACATCATCAATGGTTGGAAGGCAGAGCTTTGGTATTTTGACATGCTTGTTCAATTCTCTGGGATCCAGGCAAACACGTAGTTGGCCATTGCGCTTCTTCACATATACTGCACTGCTCACCCAGTCTGTTAGTTCTTCAACTTTCGCTATGTGGCCTTTCTGCTCCATTTCATGAAGTTTCTTCTTGATATCGTCTCTCAGTGCGACGGGTACTGTTCTAGGCACATCTTGTTTCGGTACTGCTCCTTCTGTCAGTTCAATCTTGTAATTTCCAATGTACTCTAGCCCAGTGAATAGATCGTTGTGTTCTCGTAAAATAGCATCCTTGATCAACTCTTTTACGTCAGAAACTGAGTTGACGAGTAATTCTCTTTTAGTAGACAGGAGTTCCAACTCCTCACATGTTTTTCCTGATAACAGTGAACTTGGAGCATTATCAACCACTAAGAATTTTGCTCTGGTTTTTTTTCCACCAATCTGGATGTCAAGGCAGACTTCACCTTTGGGAAACACACGTTCTCCATTGTACGCTTTCAAAATGACACGAGTTTTCTTCAAGTCTGGTCGGTTTTGAATCTTTATAAAATCTTCCATTCTCAAGCAATTAGCCTCTGATCCGCTATCAATCTGCATGGTCACCTCAATCCAATCACTTGTCCGTCCCCTTCTCAGCTGAGGTTGAATCATGTATTTAGAACGGCTGCTGTCAATGACTGAATACATGCAGTAAACTTCACCATCAGTGATTGCTGGTTCGGCTTCTTCAATTGGATGAATACTCCTCGTAGGTTTCCTGGAAACGCTCTTCACAGGTTTCTGTGTTCTCCTTTGAGATTCTTGATCTCGACTTCTGCACATCTTAGCGAAATGGTTCTTCATGTTACACTTGCTGCATTTTTTTCCATAAGCCGGACACTGGCGCAAATTGTAGTTCGTTCCTCAATATTTACATTGTTTCACCGTTTCTACTCGTCGTGTAAAATCTGGTTTCTTTCCTTTGTACTTGACAGCGTGTATTGAAGTTTCTATTTCTCCATCAATCTTTTTCAGTTGATCGCTGGCTGTTTCTGCAGCTCTAATTATGTCTAAGGCTGTATTAAGAGTGAGAGCCTTCTCACGGAGTAGTCGTTTTCTGACTTCATGGCTTTTGATTCCAATGACCAGTCTGTCTCGAATCAGTTCGTCACACAGAGCGCCATAAGCACAGGTTGACGCTAGCTTCCGCAGTCTGTTCAGGTATTGATCGGTGTTTTCATTTTCGTGGTTGGCACTGTTGAACAGGTAACGCTCAAAAATAATATTCCTTTGTGGTTCAAAATGCTGCGTCAGGGCCTGCAAGAAACTATCAGGATCTGTGCGATCAGCTACAGGCAGATTTTTTACTATTTGGTAAGTTTCTCTTCCTAGAACTACCTTAAGAGTTTCCAAAATGACTGGTTTGGATTTTTTATCAAGTTCAGTTGCTATCTTAAAGCTCTCCCAACTCTCTCTGAAAAAGTCCAGTTCTCTGCCAGGTTCCCCTTGAGACTCATTGGAGATGGCGTTGGTAGCTGACTGTAGATCATCATCTGTGTAGGTGGCACAATAGGTTGCGCTAGAGGAGCTTCTGGAGGATTCTCTTGCACCATAGGGTCCTCTTGATCGTCCATCCTGTTAATTCTTTTGTTGTCTTTGTGAGACGTTCGTTAGGCTCTGGCCTTTCGCAGAAATGCAGTTTCCTCAATGTGTGAACCTCGAAATTCACTTCAAATGTCACAAGTGGCAGTGTTAGGGCTTCCGGTCTGTCCAATAACACCGCTGGATTCTGTAAGCGCCCGCGATTAATTCTTCTGTCTTTGCTTGGATCGACGAAAGTTATCTTCAATTTTGTAATCCACATCCTGACACCATGAAGTGTGGACGTCTTGTATTCTGCAGCATACACCTTTATTGATATCTGTCGGGCTATACCAGCAACTAAACTACTCTCTACATCTAGTTACAAGCTCGGCTTTTATAGGTCCAGTTGAGGATCTAGAAGGTTCCGTAACATTACAACAGATTCTATCTATGTATTGATTCGGGGATGACTCAGCATGACACAGCTACTTCTAGAACATTCTTGAAGGTCACACTACACATGTTAAACATGTTAAACGAGAGTTGCTGGTCGACTACCATGAGGATTCAAACCTCAGATCTACCGATTTTGCTGTCAGATACCCTATCTGCTGAAGAATAATTAAAAACGCCGTGCAGTTGCTGTTCTTATCTCACACTAAGCATTGTATTTTGTATGCTTCTTGAGTGTTGGATCAACAGGTGATATAGATGCCGTTATTGTTCAGCTGGAATCAAACGCCAGATCAATTCATATTGGATTTCATCACAGTCATCTAGTTGACCAATCAACAGTGTGTTACGTCTACTGAGGGCTGCTGAACTGTTCAGGTGAGAATTCAATCAGAGATATTAACAATTCATGAAATATGATTGAGCTATTTATGTGAGTAAACGCGTTATGTTTAAGTATATATTTTAAAGGCAACTGGAATATTGAGTCTAGACTGGCTAAGAACTGCTTTTACGTTTTAGCGACAATCATGAATTGTGCACTTCTGGAAAAGAAGGAAGACCGGAGTCAAAAACCATCTTAAGCCGAACATTTAAAGTGAACAAGGAAATGAAATAAAAATCACAGCAAAACGAATGAATAATAACAAAAAAAGAGTCACTTGTATGTAACTAAGCTTCCCTCTTCTCATTCATAAAGAATATAGAATATAGAAGGAGTTTAGGAGATTTCAATTCTATGTGGGAGTCTATCAGCACAAGTCATTTACTTAAAGCAATATTCTTTTTCAGCTTAAGAAAAAGACACTTTACAGCCGTCAGGGGACAAGTTGGATCACCGAAATCAAATGGTACCGTATATAGGATACTGAGGAAACAAATATTACAACCTGAGTCCCTTGTGAGGATTCGAACCTCACGCAGTCTGCCCAAAGAAGGCGATCCCAGCTGAGTGGAGGGTTTCGTGCACTCCACTCGGTGCTTGTCTATTTCGCGTCCCGAGGAGAGGTGCAGTGCAGATTGCCCATACTTCGGTCTCGCCCGTCTGGTACCTCGGCGTAAGCTCGTTTCATTTTTGTTTTATATTTTATATATTTTTTTGTTTTTTTTTTTTAATGAAACGAGAATAGTCGATACATAGGTCTCAAACCCGGAGGTCCAGACCCATTTCAGGTGTCGGCTGTAACCACCAGAGGACTGTGTCTTTATTCAAGCAGGGATTGCAATTTCTTTTTCCTCTGGCATATTTGACATTCAAAGTCAAGGGTATTTAAAAAACCATTGGCGGTCCTTAGTAAATAAAGAATGAGACACCTTTGTCTCCCAGAACTCAATAATGGCGACTGAAGCTTGTAGAGCTTAACTTGAGAGGGACCACAATAACTAATTGCCTATGTTACGCGATCCAAATTCAATTATCTCTCAAGAAAATTACAGATCACTTTATCAGCTGAGCAAAAAAAAGGCAAAACAGCTGGGTCAACAACCATAAGGACTCAAACCTTAGACCTTAAAGCTTCGCAATCTGCTCTACCAGCTGGGCAGAGGAAGACATTTGGGTAGACGTTTCGTGAGGATTCAAACCTCATTTTATCAACTATCACAATAAAATGCTCGTGCAGCGGAGTAGAAAGAGAAAATTATGGGTAAGCTGACGTGAGGATTCAAACCTCAGACCTTGCAATATCGGTATGAAATGCTCTACCAGGTAAGCAGAGAAAAAAACGTGGGTCGACTTGTAAATGAAATTACACGTAAAAAGTTTGAAACTAAAGTTTCTGGTCGACTCTCATGAGGACTCAAACCTCAGATCTACCGATTTTGGAGTTAGACGCCTTACAATTTAAACTAGACAGACGTCTTGCAATTATTGTTTTTCTCTCTTACTAAGCATTACATTTAATTTGCCTTTTAAGTGTGTGATCAGCAGGTGAATTAGATGCAGGTACTGTTTTGGTAGAATCAATTGACAGATCAATTCAAGTTAGTTTTCAAGTCAGCGATGTAGTGGACTAACCAAGAGGGCTGTACCGGTAGAAAGAGAGCTGGTTACCTCTTTAGGTAAGAATTGAATCAGAGATATTGAAAATTCATGAAGTATCAAGTTGAGCTATTCATAAAATTCAACTGAAATTTTGAATTTAAACTGATGGAAAATTGACAGCATGGGTAATTCACTTCAAATGCTCTTCTTTTCCAGCCTAAAGGATTGTGCTTCATTGAAACACTTTATACCTTCATCGGTCAAGTTGGATCACGGAAATCAAATGGTACCATGTTTGGTCAGATATGGTGTCAATGCATCATGTGTTTGTCAAGAAGGAAGGTGTTTAGAAGTTGTGGTGTTTATACATCATGTGCTTTTGAATAAGGAGGCAGTGAAAAGTTGTGCGGTCTTTGCCGCATGTGTTCATCAAATCGGAAGCAGTTTAAAAGCTGCGGCGTCAATGCATCATGTTCTTCTCAACAAGAAGCAGTTAAAAAGTTGCGGTGTCGATGCATCATGTTCTTCTCATCTAGGAAGCAATTAAAAAGTTGCGGTGTCTTCGCATCATTTGGTTATCATCAAGGAAGCAATTTTAAAGTTGCATTGTCAATGCATCGTGCTCTTCTCAGTAAGGAAGCAGTTAAAAATTTGCGGTGTCTGTGCATCATGTGGTTATCGACAAGGGAGCAGTTTAAAAGTTGCGTTGTTAAGGCATCATGTGTTAATCAACAAGGAAACAGTTTAAAATTTGTGTTGTAAATGCATCTATTCACGAAGCAGTATTATCGTTGCAGTGTCCGTGTATGAGCTGATTATCAAAAGGGGAATAGTTTTTTTAAGTTTTAGTTTCTAAATAAGTATCATGCGATCGTTAAATAGTAAAATGATGATAAGTAATAAAATACCAAGTTTGCCTATAAAAAATAAACAATAAATAAATTAAACTAAAACTCACAAATAAACAAATAAAAAAGGTCCAATGAAAATAAATCAAATATAAACAAAAAATAACGTGCACTGCCCATCCTCAACCCCTCCCAGAAATACTTCACATTTGTGCCTTCCCTTTTTGAATGGACTCTTGTTGACTCTCTTTTGGGTTTAAAGATTGATATTAATGATCCTTAATCATCCAAATTATGTTTACCAACGCATTGAAAAGAATGTTTCTGGTTTTGTTCCCAGCCAACAAACTAATGCAACAGTAATTCTGACATTTGATTATCAGAAGTCGATCTCAGACATTTGATTTCGAAGTTCACAGTTTTATTTCAGACTACCGACTTTTAACTTTTCGCCTTCCGGCCTTCGGACATTCGATTCCGGAGTTCGAAGTTTTATTTCCGACCATAAACGTAGAATCTTTTTGTTTCCGGCTTCGGACTTCTAATTTCCGACGTAAACCTTCGGATTTCGGACATTCGATTTCGGAGTTTTATTTCCGACCATTGACGTATAATATTCTCACTTCCGGCTTCAGACTTCAATTTTCGACTAATCTCCTACGTCCTGATCTCTGACGGTGAACTTTCAAAATCGGAGTTTAATTCATCAATTGTTACAAGTAAACCTTCGACTTAAATGCTCGATCTCCCTTTTTTTTTTTCGATTTGGACTCCAAAGTACCATTTTCGACATTCATTATCTAGAGAGTCCAATTCTCTTTTTGAGTCAGGAATATGAAATCAAAACATAGGGCATTTTTAACATTTAAAATAGAGAAGCACATCAGTAATCAAGACGAGAGGTGTATTAATTACCTTCAATTATTTCTTTTTTAAAGATTTAACCCTTTAAATCCTAAGAGTTGCTGGCATTTAATTTCTCCTCACAATACCACTCCTGAGTGAATAAAGGAAACAATCTACAACTTAAATAGCTCTTGTTACGGGAAAATTTACTGATTTTTCCGTGTGTGTTATTCGGAACATATTTATTCGTAAACTTCCACATTTAACTATTTCAAGTCCTTTCATTTTAATAAATCAAAAAATGTATAAAAACCACAGTAGCTTTTAGAATAGATTTTGCTTGTTACTCGCTTTCATTATGCACCTGCATGGCGGCACTTTTGTTATTTATTACATGGTTTTTTAGGTAAATATAAGTGTTAATGGTCTTTCTGGAAAAATTGGTTTTCATGGTAGTTAGCAGCTGAGTTTATACTCGTAACTTTAATTTCTTTTCATACGATAGTTTCCACACCAACCTTGCATAGATAGGCAGAAACTTTTCGCTACTGCAGTTAAGATAGGTATTATTTTTTATACCAGAACTGTGAATTCTCACCTAAGTTTTCTACTTTAATGGCCTCGAGTTTATTGCATCCGTCTTTTTAATTTTGAAATTCTTTCCGTCGTAGAAACCGATGGAATATTTCGGTAGTTTTCGTCTAACTTCAAAGAGACCTTTTTTCCGCTCCTTTGTGTCCTTATTCAAATATTGCGATTTGTGTAACAATAGCACCTCACACCAGTTAGTTCTTAAGCAAGTACCTTGTACAGCTTTGATGATTACAATTTGTGTACGCTAGAGGTCATGTCGCTTGTTGGCCTGACCTAGAATAAAAGTACTGTGGAACCAAAGATTGTCTTATCCTTGACGTCCGTACAAGCTCACTCGAAGTAGATCTCCGTGTACCAGGGAATCGTGACGAGTTTCCGTTCTCGCTGCCAAGTGGTCTCTACCGAGTTATTTCCCCCAGTTGTTATTGTGCCGTCCGCGAAGATTCAGTTTCCCAGTTTGGGCGCGAAAACCTATCGTCACACTCTTGATTGTTGAACAAATTCTCCTAGTCAGCACCATATGGGAAATCTCGTACCAAATCCAACCCTTTAACCGTCCGTGATATGGCGTGATATGGTGATTTGGGCGCGAAAACCTATCGTCACACTCTTGATTGTTGAACAAATTCTCCTAGTCAGCACCATATGGGTAATCTCGTACCAAATCCAACCCTTTAACCGTCCGTGATATGGCGTGATATGGTGATTTGGGCGCGAAAACCTATCGTCACACTCTTGATTGTTGAACAAATTCTCCTAGTCAGCACCATATGGGTAATCTCGTACCAAATCCAACCCTTTAACCGTCCGTGATATGGCGTGATATGGTGATTTGGGCGCGAAAACCTATCGTCACACTCTTGATTGTTGAATAAATTCTCCTAGTCAGCACCATATGGGTAATCTCGTACCAAATCCAACCCTTTAACCGTCCGTGGTATGGCTTGGCCCTCCATGTGGAAGGTCTGGGTACTAGACTACCATATGGATGCATTGAGAACACTATGCAAAATGTGTGGTGATGTTAGGGTGCCGAATGTTAAATGAGACAACAGTTTCCTTTTCCAGTCAAAAACACGGGATTTTTTACTCATATATTAACGTCTACCGAGGCTTAAAAGAAAATTTAGGAAAGAAAAAGCTAAGTTAAAAGGGAAAATCGAAGAGTCAGTACGAGTTGGTTTACATTTTTAATTGAGACTCAATGAAAAATACAGGGAAATAATTTATTTAGATATATATATCATATAATCAAAATGAACGACCTTAATAACCAAATGTGCAGGTTTTAGCAGGTGTTTATTCTTTCACTCTGTAAATGCGCAATTTACATCTAAATGCCTTCCAAATAAATATTGATTCAAACATTCAAATTGTTTTAAAACCAGTGAAAGGTATCTTTCAGAATTTTTCAGTCAGCTAACACAAGGCAACGATCACTGGATGTTCCTCCAACCTATTGAAAATAAATTCCCAAATCCGACTAAAACGGCCTCAAATGGCTGTAAGCCTAAAATGTCAGTGAACGTAATAGTTGCTACAGTTTGCTTCGATCGGTTCGACCGCTAACCAAACAACACGAAGAGGAGTTTTTTCGCCTTTTCAGGGAGATCTAGGAGATTATAATTTTCCTAATATCTCCGCCTGCAAGAAGAGTGTCTAACATCAAACTCAGTCGATGCAAATCGAACATAAGGTTAACTTCGAACATCATCTGCACCATGTTCACTGCTTTTAAAACGCAGCACTTAATTAAACGCGGCTGTGTCGACAAAACACCAAATCAGAGCAGTCGCTCATCCGGCGGACGTTGAAGATACACAATAGGTTTAAGTTGCAATTAAAAAAAAATAAATCATTTGGAAGGGAGACAAATATTTCAACGAAGAGTGATAATGATTGCGAATTAAATATCCCTCAACTATGATGGTACCGATGACGATAATTTTCACAAACTTTTAATAAACTGGAATAAACGCAATCATTTCTGTAATCAAGCTGGAGTTTCATAATTCACCCATGGGGGTCGTAAATCTTCCTTTCAGGTAATTATCCTGCTTACTAGTCTTGTTCAACCCGATACAAAAGTAATAAAAAGAATGTGTTGTCCAGCTAATGAAATTTTCGCCTTCTCAGTGGGGGGTGGAATTAGTTTTTTTTAGCATTTTTTTCAAGCCGGCGAGAAGGCGGTTGCGCCGTGCTTTTTAAAAAACTGAATAGTTTTATCAATATTTTTCAATAATAATGAGCTGTAATCATTGTGCCAAAGGCATCGAATTTTCTATTCCATTACCTAGAGAAGCGATTCATAGCTTTGAAAGCTGCTTAATTTGAAAGTAACAAATTCAATTTGAAAATTCGACGGGGTTAAGAATTGTTCTGAACCCCTAAAATAAGTTCCCGTAGAATCTATACAAGACCTAAAAAAAATGTATTTAAAATATACCTGTAGTCTGGGGGTATGAGTGTCTTATTTGCTTGGTTTAAGTGTTGTGTTAGTCCTTTTGGGCAGCACGGTTGTAAGGTTTAAAAACACTTTTTAAAATAGTTGTCATGTTATGTTGTTAATAAACATTTAATGCAATAAGAGTTGTGAAATCTGTACCTTTAAATTTGATCATTTTAAAAGTCAAGCGCGATCTTCAACAGCACTTGTAAAATGGCAAGATTCTCGTCAGTCTCAATTTATGTGTTGAATAAAAGCAGCTGCTGGAAATTTTGGAGAGCACTCACGAAACTGAAGCTGCTCTTAGCTGCGCCTCAAGAAACTCTTGTGCATCTTTCGTGCTCCCAAACTTTCAGCGTGTTACATATCTCGATGAAGCACGCTGACGTATAAACTAGTTGTTCATTTAGAAAAAAGTAACCGTCCCGAATTGTTCGATTATCAGAGAAGATGAGCACTTCTGCAAATGAGCTGTTTTCCCTCGACTGTTAAAGGCGGAGAAGCCTGGTTAGGGCAATTCCCAGGAGCTAACGTGGTCCAACTGAAAGCGGTTGTTCAAGTGTTCTATAGGGAGACTTCAACCGCTTCGACCTAAACCCGTTACAGTTTAAATGGTTGATAATATATCCCGACCTAACGCTCCCGCAAAAGTTTCGTGCTGCACGGCATTTTAATCGTTCAATTCGTTAATTTAGCAAATCGGAACGGACAAGGGCCTATTATCTTGGCGGCATACAGAAGAGCGCTGGTGGGGGTCTTTTTTAATTGTTTAATCTTTTCCAAAAGACGTCGAAATTAAAGCGGATGAATGTTCCCCATTGAAAAAGAAAAATAATTGCCCCTTTAACTGCCCCAGTGATAGATACTGCAAAAGCTATGCAACTGTCATTTAAATAAACCTCTCAAAGTCTTGTTTGCTTCGGAAATTAGATCGTCAGCCCTTCAGTGGAGATAACTTGTTAATGATTTCTACATATGCCAGCTTGTTGGCTTCAGTTAGACCCATCGGACACAGAAGCGTATTTCTGATGATAAAAATGTAGTAAAACAGTCATAAGTAGCGTAAGATCTGTAAATGAATTCAATAAACGACAGGAACTTTGACCCTAAATCAACTGAAACTATCTTAGCACATCTAGTTTGATTTTCACTTAAACTAAATTTCTAAGTCCCGGGCGAGGAATCGTGTTTACATGTACATGAATACAATACTAGTGAAAGAATACAATAGAATTATAAAGCAGCTCCGATAAAGAAAGGTGGTTAATTCCTGGGAATAAAAGAAATTCAAAAGACAAAAATAGACCGCCTTGCTCAATAATAGTACAATGATTGATTTCCAATTATGAAAGGCTGAAAACTTAAGTGAAGTTTTTTAATATCTCCCAGACGAGCAATATTTGTTTTGAACAGGGAAGGTTTGGAAGATGAATTGGGGCAGCCCAAGTGACACGACCACCATGGAGGAACAACCCAACAACTGTGAACTTTCGGTGAAAGAGAGAAATTGTGTTCAAAAAAACTCGCTACTTAGACAAACGAATCAAAAGATAAGTGCTTCTATACAGAGTGAACACAATCGATTTGAAAGAAAAATGGACTTGGAGGCTAAAAAGTTACGGAAAAAACTCACGATGATGATTCAAATTGCTAAACCAGTCACGAACAACGATGCAGGATCATGCAGCCCTAGCAAAACAGAAGATTCGGTTGACGCTTCTAGCAAACTTAGGTTGCCAGCCATAAAAAGCGAGATCAAATCAGCACCATGTTCCCCAATTTTAGGCCATCGAAAGACAACTTTTTCTTGGGAAAATGTCAGTTTATCGCCACACTCCGGTTCGAATCCGTTGCCGATTCCTCGTCGGTGCTCATACAACGAAATCTTCTCTTCACCTCAAGGTTCACCCATTTTAACTCGGCAATCGAGTAATTCTTTTTTGAATCGAGATCGTCCGTCAGAGTTGATACAACTGTCGCCTCGCTCACCAGGATTGGAAGAAAATAACGGTAAGCTATCACCATCTTTGTTGCCAAGAAATCTCAAGTTGAGAGAACAAGCTCGTCGCGATAGCCTTCTAAAGGCGACGCCGGGGATGCAATCACCTCAAGGTCCATCACTAGAGGACCAATTCAAATCACTTGGATCGTGTCGTTATCTGCGTCGAGCTACTGTAGGTCACGTAAAAGTCACAATAGATGATGAAGAAAAGAATACTGAACATGTTCGAGAAAATACCGTGGAATTTAGTTAATATGTCTCAATTCGGGCCATGATTGTGTCAGATTATAAGGGGGTCAGATGTACAAGGCTGAATTTTACGCCGAATTGCAATTTTAACCACCACTGTCACTGTCGATCAATGTTGGCAAATGTTAAGTTAAGACCGTCATTCGCACCCATCAGGGCTCTTTCACTAATCAGCACATTCTTTGCACGTAGAATCAAGAATATACCTTGAGGTGTCAAATGTTTTAGCACCGTGCTTGCATGATATCGTTAAATACTGTCGCAAAACTTAATATAGCATTACGGGGTTTATGTTAATAAATTTAGGTTAGTATCAATGGTTGAACGCGTGTACATAAGATTTTAGAATCTTGATGCCGGTGATTAGGTTTGAAACGGTAAATTAACTTCCAACATTATTGTAAGAAGAGCTTGATAACTTTCAACGATTTATGTTTCTCTGCTTTATGGATCTATGACCATTAAGAGATGACAAAAGCGTTTTCATTTAGATATTCGAAACAACGCTTTGCTCTTTAATGAAGCATCATCCGCAAACGTAAGCAAAGAATTAGTGACGTTCACTTCGTCTTTAATATTTAAAAAAAAAAACGCAAACGCTTTGCAAAGGTGTAAAATAAACAAAATACAGCAGTACATTTATAGCGAAAACAGCATCATAAGCTAAATAGATGCAGCAAGAAATTATTGACAAATGCCGTATGGCGCCATCAAAAAGAACTTTGAAGTCGTAATGACAATAGTTAGAATCGATTTAACTAGCCGAACTTCAATTTACGTTTTTGATGTAGCTATTAAAAGATTAACACATAATAAAGTATTTGTCTCTCTATTTGAACTAGATCTCTCTTTTGGGAATTGTTCGTGCGTATTCACGTCTCCTGTGCCTTCTTAAAAAAATTCTGGTTTCATGAAGAAGAGGCCGAGTAAATTGAAAACATACCGATCGCGAGTGAAGATTTCTACATAGGATGTAAACTTGAGTTTTTCGCTTGATCTCCTCCAAGGAAACCCAATACTTTAGAGGAGAGAAGAGCTAATGCTAATGCAAATGCTACCGCTAATGCTACAGAACGCTAAGAACGTCTAATTTTATTGCTGCTTTCATAGTGCTATTAAAGGATTTTTTTTAATCTTTTAATGTCAAAACATAGGAATTTTAATTAGATCTCTCATTTGGCAATCGTGCATACATACGATTATTTTAATCGATATGCGCCTTTTTCGCCCGGTTTGGATTCTCTCTAAAACCAAGCAAACTAACAAACAAACACGCAAAACAGCCAACGAAGAAAACCAAACATTAAAGTTTTTATTATGCATTACTTGTCAATAAAAATTAAATGTGGACTTTAAATTTAACAATCCATTCACTCATTAATTTGTTACTACTTTCTAGCTTTCTGAAAGAGTCTGAAAGCTTCTTGGAAAGGATAAAGATACAAATCAAGTAGAATATTCGATTCACAGTTGCAGCCTTAAACAGTACCCTTGGAAACGCTCGGCTATGGTTTTGACAAACACCGGCAACAAAAAAATAAGCAACGCCAACAAAAATAAAAAGATGTTTCACGGTTTTTGGATGAAATTGAAAGAAAATAAACACATTTAAGGCTGACAACAATTGAGATCAATTTTCAACAGAAATTAAAAGAAATAAACAATTATATCTAAATTATACAAATCAAAAAGATTCTTTAATTTTGTAACTCAAATTTGTGGTTGCACCTGATCAGAGAACCCCAGATCGAACAAACAAACAAACAACAAAAACCTATGTCAATAGCGGAAAAAAGACTTCAATTCAGTCATGGTCGATGTAATTTCCATCCACGCGATTCACTTTCGCGAAAGTAAATTTCTATTTGGTTCGCGATGCTGCCGAGGAACTTCATCACCAAGAGCCTCAGATGCCGTCGTTCACGTATTTAGTTGACATAATGTGATGAAAGTGAACTACTATAGAAGTATCATGCTTTATATGTGAATGCCAATTGTGGGTCAAGTGATATCCACAAGACAATGATTCTAGAATGCAAGTACAAAATGTTCCTTGTAAAAGACAATATTATTTTCAAAACAATAGTGAAACATTCCTACAACAGAGGCGTTTCATTTGTCCTCGGTTTAAAACGGAACCTTTAGGAATCTCGAAAATAGCAAATTTCTGCTTTCTTTGCTGGTTTGTTTGTTCGTTTGTTTGTTTTTTGTTCTTCTGTGAAATTTAAGTGTTAATACAACTGAGGAGATCACTTCCTATCAGGAAGAACATTCCATGACCCAAATTTAATGACACAAACATTAAGCCCCATCCACCGAAATTTTGTCCTCTGTCCATATTTCGCCCCAAGCTGTGGGTCACGCATATATTTGGTGACGTGAGGGTCTCAGCACATTTTAAATGGTTACACCGTGGATGCTTTGCGTTCCTTTTTTTCCAAGTGGTCTCTGAGATATGCGATACATAGTGGTTGGCGACGACCGACACGATTCAAAATAGTAGCAGGAAAAGGACCACCAAAATCAAGCTGGAAAAAATGTTAAAATAATACATATTTATTACTTGAGCCTTCAACTCCCATGAGTGATCAAGAAAGAATTTCTCCTTACCATACGAATACAATATCAAGTAGACAAGTGATAAGAATCAAGACAAATATTAATCAGGGGATTATTACTTGATCCAATACCGAATTCTCCAAACTAATATCATGATAATTTTATAGCGGACAGTAAGGAGAGTTACTTATGAGATCTTGGGAGTGAGATAACAGTTACAGCAGCTGGCATTTGAGTGTCAAGAGTAATTCGGGATTGCTTAAGTTTCGCTCACTATATACGGCTCTGTGATTGGTGCCACACTCACAACCAATCAGTGGCAAGAATGAAACCAAGCGCGGCTTTCATTGACTACTCGCGTTTTCTAGCACTTCAAGTGGTTTGCTTGTTTTAATTCGACTTTTGTTGGCTGCTTGGAATATTTTTGTTGGTTCAATTTAGCAGCATAGATTACTTCTGTTTTGTTTTATTTTTCACTCAGTTGAAATGCACTCAGTTCATGTAGAGTTACGTTACATTGAACACCTCTTTACCTGAGTAAGATACGACACCATAGAATACAGCTGACCATTTTGTAGCATGGGCTCAATTACCCAACCAGCAACGTGAACCTGTTAAAAAAAATTGTAAACGAGAAAAACTGGTTTGGTAACGCTTGTTGAAGTGACAACACTTTTAATGTTGAAGCACAGAATATTCAGAGGGATGGAGGACACGTGATTCAAAAGGCAGGAAAATAACGAGCAGGGAACGCAAGTAACACAGCATTTAAATTGTACGAAAGCAGTCTGGAATAAGGCAGTCAGTCATACCTTCATTCTAATGATGTCCTTCTTTTGAGGTAATTCGGGGATGTCCACGGATGTCCCAGCTATTAGGTAACGTTCAGGCTGGGTGGGAAGAAACAACTTTAGTATCTCTATCTTCAATCTACACTCTATTTGTAGGGTGGTTGGAAAGCGCGTGTCTCAGCTCAAATTTAATAACTTTGTTTCATTTCCTGATATCTAAAGTGGCTGAATCTCAGGGCTATCTAAATATATCGAACTTAAATGTAACCAAAAAAATCAGTTTTTCGAGAGCACAGATTATCATAGGCTTGATTTCCGCCGCTCTCTCGTGTCCGGTCTTGGCTCCTTCCCAAGGAGAGAAATGGGTTCGGGGGAGAGGCGCGGGCTCATATTCCCGAACAGCGGCTGGTAATCAAGCCTACGATTATAAGGACTTTCAAGAAACGGGCCTCGATCCGGAAGCCACCTCGTTTCCCACAGAGTAAAGTAACTCTCAATGAACCAACTGCAAGTTACAGAGTAAACATTCACCTCGACTCGCTCTCCTATCAAAGCTACAGAATCGCGTGACTGCTTCACGAAGCACTGAGTTGTTTCATGATGGCAATAAACTGTAAAAAATAAAAAGAAAGAACCCTCTTACCACTCCATTAGACAGAGCAACATATCAAAACAAGATTTTCACGGTAACTTTACAAGCATTTTTTAGAGCTACTAGGTTTGAATTTTACTAAGTTCAAGTCATTACTGCGGCGATTACTCTCGTCTCCATTTAATAATCCACGGCTCAAAATGTTCAAATGTGTAACTAGAGTCCTTTTCCCTTTCAGATCGTAATACACTGTATTGGTTTTATAGACTAACATCCATTCACTGAGGGATTGTTGGAGTGAAGGGTTTTGGCTGTTTAAAGAGGAATTTCGTTCTTTGCGAACCTCCCAGAGAAAAGGAAAATTGTGGTTCACATTGACAGGGAGTTCGAAAAATCGGTACTCTGCTGTATTCTAAAATCACGTTCCTGAGCCACGAGTCTGCGCTATATTCAGCTAATAATCAATGGTTTTAAGCAAATAGAGAGATACAAATAAACTCATCCAACTTACTGATTTTAGTTTGATCGTCGATTTGCCTGACCAACTTGGTTTTCTTCGAAATGCAAACAAAACAGAATAGTTACGTCTAACATTCGAACAGACAAACAAACAAACGGCTAGGTGCTAGAGACGATAATATTCAAGTTTGGCTTTCCATCAAATGAATGCTTTATCGAGAAGGTAATCCCGAGCCCCGAGTCCTAAGTCTTTTTGACCAGCTGTTGGTTGCCTTGGAAACCACTAAAGGAGTACATTGTGATCTTTAGGTGCGAGATTGGCGAGAAGAAGAAAACAGTTGTGTTTGATGCGTATGCGTACGACGGTGAAGTACCAATAGGACGTTAAACTAAAGATAGCCGCATATCCCAAACACTCAAATATAAAAGAGTAATCAGCTTAGTTGATAACGTAAATTAGCCACCGTAGCTGAAGAGTTTAAAAGCTGATTTTCGAGCGCAAGCCCGTCGTCAGAGCGATTGGAGGAATTGAGGGTTGTGTGCGGGTTTATATGCAGAAATTGGGGCTACGCTACTGGTGGGAATGTGGTGACAAGAAATCAA